CGGTATTGAGAGGTGGACCGTTGGGGTCAGCCATGTCCAAGGTGCTCGCTGGGGGTGGCGATACGGTGCAGCGTTCACCGGAAAGGCTTCGACGTGGTTTCTTACCACTTCTGCAAAACTCGACGCTGGACGTGAGATGTGCAGGCCCGCCAGATGATGCGCTTCGTGCTGGGTTGAAAAACGACTGTAGTGCCGGAGGGTCTCTTGAACACGGAGCGCCTCTATACGTTGCTCGTGCGCTTCTGCTATAACTCCTGCAGAAGGCGACGCTCGGGGCACTCCCAGCACAACGCGGAGGCTTCTTGCCTACTGTGCCAAGAGTCCCCGTTGGGTTGTTGAACTGACCCGGTGCAGTAAAGGCAGACTGTAGCGCAGACTTCCCAGTACCATTGATTTGTGTAGCTGCATGAGGGCGGCTGAATTTCCCCATGTCGAGCCAGAAAGGCACCGCATGATGTTCCCGTACGAGTTGACCTTGCATCGAAGTCTGTTCATTTCAGGTGCCCAGGTGAGCCGCCTGTCGATAACTATTCCAAGAAAGGTGTGCTTGTTGACTTAGGGGATAATTTGCTCTCCTATGTGTATGGGAAAACGCTTGCAACTTCGCCTGGTGAAAGCCATAGCGACGCATTTGCTGGGCGACGGGTGTAGGCCTCTGCAGTTCAGGTATCTTTCCATTCTGCTGAGTGCTCTCTGGAGCCTTCCACAGATTACTGCGCGGTTCGGGCCCGAAGACCAGATACACAGATCATCGGCATACATCGACATCTTTACATGCTCTGAAAGTTCCTGCGGCAGGTGGGCCAGGACGACGTTAAAGAGTGTGGGGCTCAAGACGCCCCCCTGTGGAACGCCGGCAGTTACGGAGAAACAGTCACTGTTTCCTTCTGTCGTGGTTAGGTAAATTGTGCGTCCTTGAAGGTAATCCAAGATCCAGTTGTAGATTCGACCACGTACGCGAAGTTTAATGAGGGACGTGAGTATTGCTGAGTGTTCCACGCTGTCGAAAGCAGCCTTTATGTCCAGAAACACAGCTACCGTGGAGAGACGACGGCTCTGATGCTGTTCAACATCTGAGACTAAGTCCACGACGCCGTCAATGGCAGAACGGCCACGACGAAACCCCGACATGCACTCGGGGAAGACCCCTGTCTTTTCGAGGTACCAGAGCAGACGGTTTAGGATCATACGCTCCATCAACTTCCCAATGCAGCTGGAGAGCGCAATGGGGCGGTATGACTCAAGCGACAGAGGCGATTTTCCTGCTTTCAGGATGGGAACGAGGCGAGACTTCTTCCATGACTCTGGGAGCTGTCCTGTGTTCCAACTGACGTTGTATTGTTGCAGGAGGGCACCGAGGGCAAGGGGTCCCAGATTGGCTAGTGCCTTGTATGTAACACCATCCGGGCCTGGAGAGGTGTGTTGGGAACACTCCTGTAGAGCACTTTTGAGTTCCCTCATGGTAAAAGCCTCGTCTAGCTCCGGTAGCACGGCGGCTTCTGTGGTTTTCTCGTGTGACAAACCGCTTGCAGGGCGCCGCTGCTGGAGCTGGCAGAACGCATTGGCTGCAGCATGCTCAGTGATTCCTTTTGGAAGTGCCAAGGCTCGGAAGGGAAACTTCTGCCTGGGTGTTTTCTTGAGCCCTCGGGTCACGTTCCATAGTCTCGTTGACGGCTTGTGAGGGTCCATTGAACCGCAGGTACCTCTCCAACGTCGCATAGAGAGTCGAATTAAGTGTCGTCGTACGACCGCCAGGGTTCGTCGTGCTTCCGCCCAGTCCGCGGCTTTACCAGGGGCCGCTTGCTAGAAAGTCTTGACTCAAGTCTTGGCTCAAGTCTTGACTCAGGCGCCTGGCGGTCTCGGCTGAGACCGTGACTGAGACCAAGACGGATCCAGCACGGTCTCCGGCGCGGTCTTGACTCAAGTCCGGACTTGAGTCTGGCACCCAGACCGCCAAGAACGGAGTGGGCAGTACCTAGAGAGGGAATCTAGGGAAAACTGAAGAAATACCGGAGAAAACAGAGGGTGCGTTCCAAATCTACTCGAGTGGATCCGAGTTACCCTGGCAGATCATGTCACGTGACAACAAAAATCGAGTAATGCCGGATTCGGGTAGGTTTTCGATCGCAAAGGTACAAAACCTTTACCCTAGAGTGAGACCGAGTAAATTTCGGAACACGGCCGAAGATTCCGGACGTGGAAGTGACGAGTTGTGACCTCCTGTCCAATAAGAAAGCGCCGGCGACGCGAGGCGGCAAGCGAGAGATCGTCTGCTTCTGCTACGCTGCGATCGGTTTGGGCAAAGAGAAACGACGACAGTCGCAAAACTGCGGCACATGTCTCGTACATACCGTGGTTCCGTGCAAAATAGAAGAAAGAAAAAAAAAGAGTCAGCGATGCGCGGTTTTGGGTAGAGTTTAGTGCGCACCAACGCTGTCATATTGCTTCGTATCGCGATCGTCTGTCACCACCGTCGTCGACGTCCAGTGCGTACGCCGAATAAAGTTGTTTACATAAATGCCTGCGTGTCCTTAACGCCCAATTTTTTAAGAAAAAAAAATGCGCTGGACGTATTTTCTCGGAAGCATTTGCAATAAAAGTTGATAATTATGTTTCGATCATTAAGTTAGCAGACGACCGTCTGAGTTTGCTGCACGCAGACATGGATGTTGCCGGTCCATCACGGATGCCTCCCAAGGTAAAGAAATCAAATTGGTCCGAAGATGATAAGTTTCAATTGGTTTACGAAATCGAGAAACGAAAACGTATAATTAAGAACAAATTTAACAACAATATTACAAAAGCTGCTAAAAGAAAAGCGTGGCAGGAGATCGCATCCGTGATGAATTCGCGGCATCCATCGACGCTGCGCACTGTGCCGCAACTCAAAAAGCAGTGGCAGAACCTCAAATCTCGCAGCCGCGCGGAACTGACCCTCTCGAAGAAAGCACACTCCACGACCGGTGAGTTTACTATACATATGTTTTTACTACACATAAAAATGAAGCACACATTCTGTTGGCTAAAGAAGTTTTTTATCCACTTTCTCATTTTCTTGGCTAAATTATAGAAGAAATTAAGATATCAAGCTATTAATACAATCAAATCAAAACAATGAATGTGCTTGCTGCAATCAGATAAAATTTAATGCTCAAACAAAATATGGAGAGGACCTTGTCTTCCACAGGCGCAGGGCGCAACGACCACACGCTGACACCGCTGGCTGAGGCTGTGCTGGCGGTCATCGGTTCCACAAGCCCCAACCTTCTGGGTATCGAAGGAGGCGTAGACACCGACGAGTGAGCCGTCATGTTACTGCTATTTGTACGAAGTCTAGCCTTTCGAGATTCACACGATTGGGGGTTCTACTAGCAAAGCTAATATTGTATTCATAATCATATCTGAAGTTCGCAAGTACTAAATACTGGGCCACTCAAAGAAATGTTCTGGTGTGTTCTCTCCAGAGCAAGAAAGAACCGTGCACATCCAAGAACTCTAAAACTTCGAGCCATGTTACCTGAAGTTAAAGTCGAGCTAGGCATGTCAATGAAAGACCACTGCGCTCATCAATGATGATCATAAAAATAATATAAACAACAATAATAATAATAGTAATTATTGGATTAGGAGAGCCACGGCACTGCAGAAAGGCAGCAGCCCGTGCAAAGTACGCCCGCAATGCCACATCTTCTGATGGTGATTATGTGATGATGTAAGATCACGACCTAATCTTGTGAGATGCAAGATTAAAATGATGGTGATTATGAGCCGACATGTACATGGGGAGGACGACGCAGTCTTCTGAACATCGCAAGCGCCGTTGGCCGAGTCTTGAAAGTTTGGGAAAGAAAAATGATAGCAGACTTAGGGTGGTACACTGCTGAAATGGTAGAAGGTATATCTTAAAAAGGTATCATGCAATCCGAACAAGACAAAGGGGATTAGTTTCTACTACACTACCATTACAAAATACATTATACTCTCATGATTTCAAACTCCAGGAAGCCATGAATTTTGTTTGATTTATCAGAAATTTATCTAAATAATGATGCAAGATAAATATATGATTTGCCTTATGAGTGGCTTCACATACACAGAAGATATTTCATGCTTTCCTTTACATAGGCCTACTGATCATAACCAGGTATGCTACACATGAAACATTCGTGAAATGTAAGACAAAAGTTTATTTATCCCTCAAAAATGTTCATTGTTGTGGGCTGTTCAAAGAGCACATGACAACTCAAAACGAAATTCAGTTTGTTCATCGGGTCAAGAAGTTGTCTAGTGTGAACTATTAAACGGGGGACACGTGAACAATAAAAGCGGGCACTGCACCACAGTTTTTATAGAAACTTGTGAGGACGTTGTGACTTGCCCATGCTATGCCACTTAAATTCAATGCCGTTGTCCTGTAATTCATATTTTTTGTTCTTGCAGCCCTTTTGTTTAGTACACATCTTTCCGAGCATCGGTGCACTGCAGAGGGAACACCCATGGATCTGTTGCTTCTCCGCAATGTGCCAGCGCTCGGTGTACGCCATGCTACCAGGAGCCCTAAACTCGTCAAACACAAAGTTCGGGCCGAAGTTGACGGAGCGCACCGATTGGACAACCACGACGATGACTTCGCGTTTTTGTCGCCGACGTCCAATCAGCGCGCTCCGCGAACTTTCGGCTCCAACTTTGTGTTTGACGAGTTTAGGGCTCCAGATCACAGCGTCTGCGCAAGTTGCTGTAGAAATTTCCGCATGAGCCCCGTTGAGTGCGCTTATCACCAAGCACCGGTGCATTGCAAAGAAGCAACAGCTTCATGGGTGTTCCCTCTGCAGTGTACCGGTGCTCGGAAAGAAGCACACTCAACAAAAGGGCTGCAAGAACAAAAAATATGAATGACAGGAAAACGGAATTCGGTTTAAGTGGCATATGGATACACTAAGAACATAGCGAGACAACCAAACTTACGAAATTTGTTTGAATTAACCAGAAGTATAATATCCGAGTTTGAATTATCGCAGGACTACCGTATACAGGCTAGACTTTTATGAAGTCAAGCTGAACTATGACAAACAGCAAAAAAATATATTGTTTTATGTTGAAAATTCTACTGCTACGTAGACCCAAAGGTCACAAACACAAAGCTTGGACCTCATTTGCTTCAGGTCCGTTGTATTGAGATGGCAAGTCAAATGAATGAAGGCACAAAGCTGAGACAGTCTGTTGCATAAACATATTTGTGCGAGATTAGTGCTCTGAAATCTCGCTCATTTCGTAGGTAGCATTCACTGTCACAGCTGAGTTCGCTGCTGCTGAGCATATGCTGACGTCAAGCTCTTGCAACACTTCCAACATGCACATTGCATACCATGAGGAATGTCTTTTCTGAAATAAAACCACCTTGAAAGGGTGAACAGTATTGATAAATAAAAGAAATCAGAAGTAATCCTGAGCAGTCAGTTCAAATATGGTGTACAGTGAGTACAATTTATTAAGCACCGACCAGTAGACCCTACCACTAAATTTGGAATCACCCTGAGCAGATCTGTTGCTCAACATGGTAGGCTTTGACATAAAACAGAATTGTAGGGACAAGCAACCAGAAATATCTTGCCGGCATCAACACTGCACACTGGATCTCCATGAAGCCAGCTGTTTTCACAACTAATAGCCGCAACAGTCAAGATCGGGCTTGACCTGCACACTGTAGGCTGGCTCTACTAAAGCCCACATACTTTCACAACTAATAGCAGCAATGGCCGAGAGCTGAGGAGTCGAGCTTGATCCACATGCACACAAAAAGCATGAATGAAATACAAATAAGAGTGTTTCAAATTATGTACAAGGGTGACAAGACTGACATTCTGGTGTATTTTCCTTAGGGCCAGCACAGCACCAGTCAGCGTGCAGCCAATTACTGACGAGGAGGTTGGAGAGGACAGAGTCCTGAACTACGAAGTTGAAGTGGACCCCGGGGTCGCATTCCTCGAGGTGCCGGAGTCCGAAGAAACGCAGGACTACGAGCCTCCGGACTGGCCGATGGACGAGGATGAGGCACCCGTGGAGCCTGGTGCAGCAGCTGCGCTGCTACGTCGGGAGGGGCCTCCTCCTGTGGCAGGGGGACCGCCTGAGGCAGCAGCTGCAGCTGAAGGGCGACCGGCACCACTGGGCCGGCAGGGACCACCTCGTTCACGACCGGTCTGGAGGCCCAGCGCACCACCCGCAGGCTCGGCAGCCAGCACACGGGCTGCAGACAAACAGTTTTATAGGGACATCATGGAGCAACAACACGAGAACGTAAAGTTAGAACGGCAGTGCCTCCTTGCCAAACTGAAGGCGACGGCAGAGCAGACAAGGGCAGCAAGGGCAGCCTGCGAGGCTGCCGAAATGATGAAAAAGGCTGCAAACTTTTATATTGAACAGGGAGAAAAACTTTTCATGTTACTTGGGAAGGCCCTACAACAAGACCCTTAAAGGGGAGGAGGGGCCTTCAGTTTGGCAAAGAGGCACTGCCGTTTTAGCTTTACTTTGTAAATACAATAAACAGTTTTTTTTTGGTTAGTTCTCTTCAATGTCTTTTTGGTTCCAAGTATGCAAAAAAATTCCACTGCATTATGTATTTCATTTAGCAACATGAAAAACTAAAGAAATGATGCATCATAAAAAAATGCAACGACTTTTACACACTCAGCTAAGTAAAAGTGAAAGTCATTAGTGTAATAAACACGCGTAAAGACCGCACCCGCAAAAAAAAAATGTTTGCCTTGCGCACCATTGCATTTGTACAGGCCTGAGCGATGTCACCGCCGACGTGGCATGCAGTCAGCATCAAAGCTTTTTTTTCCTTTGCAATCCTTACAATCATCTCCCTTCTTGCTGCCTTTGTCGAAGTTGCTTAAGGCATATTCAGCCAAAACACCTAACTATTCATCTCCCTTTTTATGTTTGAGCAACCTTCATCTATGATCCACTGACGTCAAAGCCGAGTGGGAACGACAACGAAAGAAAGTACAAACTGCAGGTCCAAAATGGAAGCGCAGCGGCGTAAAGGCCCATACAGACAGTTTCGTTTCAGTGCGTTTGACTGCACTGTATCGAAAAGTAGCCACAACTCCTTAAGCTGCCGGTGGTTCATATAAAACAAAGCAACTAACTTGCTTATCAGACGGCAAACAAACGGGGGCCCCGCACCATGCTGGTGATTGACTTCCCACCACATGGAAGCACTTACCAAGGCATAGGATGCCACAAATTGCCCGGACATGCACTGATGTGCACCATATTTTCTACAAAACTACCTGGTTTTTGGCATGCGAACTTGAAAAACTGTGCCGAACTTACGATGACGACATTCAACCAGCCTGTACGGGATATTTCGGCGTTGGTAAAGTGTGCTACGAGCAGAAAGTTCCAATATGCCACCGACAAAGTTTTGATGCGAAAGGCTATTGTGTCGGAAGAACAAATTTAAATATGCGGTTCAAGGCATAACTGGAATCCTGCAATTATTTGACCAGCGGCTCTAGACGCCACTCATAGTAAAGTTATGAGTTAGTGAAGTATTGATAAACAATGCAAGGATCCATATGTCATGGACCGCAAAGGCCGATGTTTCGGTGGCAGCGTTTCAGCGAGCATGCATTTGGGGGCCACTGCCGACTGATCATTGCCTGGCCGAGCTCGCGGCGAGGCATGCTTCCCGTACTCGGCGAGGAGGCCGCGAAGGTGCGCTCAAAACATGGAAACTACATCATGAAGATAAAGGCAAAGGGCATCGTTATCACGAACAGGCAAGGCTGATGCAAAGAGTGTGTGAACATAAATGTTAAAAAGTGTTGTCAATGCACCGCCACGAAGAGTCCTGCCAACTGTGCAGCCGCAGCCCTCCTCTGCCACTCGGACTTTCTTTTCTTTGACGGTTACTCTGTTGCGGGGCGACTCAATGAAACTATCGCCGCGATACATAGCAAGTGCTACAGCTGAATCAGGCGCATTTTACCATAGCTCTCGCTGCAAATGGCCGTCGCCTCAACCACCAGTATACAGTCGACTACAGACATGATGGTTGTAATCACATTCTGCTTGTACAGTGGCGTCGAAACGAAATAGGGGGGCGGGGGAGAGACTGCCCCCCCGACAGGTCAGAAATTTAATGGAAAAGATATGGGGGAGGAGTGCAAACTTGTCCTTCCCCCAACCACTGTCGCCCTCCCCATCTGCTGAATGGTCCTGATGTCTCTGTGCTCGTAATCACCCATTTTTTCTGACAAAAACGTTTACTTCAGTGTCCTATTCGAAAGTTTCTGGCAATAGCCACAGTTTCAACAGATTGTTCATGGTGACTGTTGTGTGTAGAGTGGTGGCACCATCGGGGACACGGACCGCAATCCTAGAAGATTACGCCACACCGCGGAAAAAATGCAAAGCACGCAGTCAACGGCCAACGCCAGCCAGTGAACCTATCATGTCTTCATTACGTAGCCTTTGTATCTTGAGTCAATAAATAGTTCATGTTATCCGGTCATCATCTACTGGCCAGGATCTATCATGTGGTGATGAGGATAAGATTGCATAGAGACTGCCGCACTCTACGGCCCCACATCGGAACGTACAGGTGAGGCAGAAGGTTTGTGAACATCGCCCTTTGTTCGGGTACCCCCCTTGTACCCTCGACAAGAAATGGCGACCCTGGGACAGATAGGAGAATTCAACCCTGCGTTTCCGGAGATGTGGGACGCCTACGAGGCAAGATTGAACTTCCACCTCGAGGCAAACGATATCACCAACCCAACCAGAAAACGTGCTGTTTTTTTTTTTGTTTTTTTTTAGCGTTTGCGGAGCTGCCACTTTTGACTTAGTACAGTCACTACTCGCGTTGGCAACTCCCAAAACGAGGACCCTCAACCAACCGTTGGAGATTGTACGCCAGAATGCCTTTACCGGCGGAATCAGGGTCCCGAGAAGTCTGTGGCCTTATTCATTGTGGAACTACGGCGGTTGTCACAAAACTGCAACTTTCCAAATCTCACGGAAACACTGAGATCTACTCGTGTGTGACCTGAGGGATGAAACTCTTGAAGCTCGACTTTTCGTAAAAAAAAAACTCTCGTTCAAGATCGCTCAGGAAGAAGTGCTGGCAGCTGAAGCGGCGGCTCAAAGCACCACGATGTGAGGGGAGGAGAACCAGCTGTGGCAACCAACGTTGCCATACATCAGGACTAAGAGGAAGGAGAAAACACGCTTAGGCAATCGACAAGGAAACAGTATACCACGGGAAAACAAAGCCTTGCAATGAGTGCAGAGGAGCTCACGCACGGGAGTTTGTCAATTTAAAGATGCCCAGAGTCACTTATACAGAAAAATCGGCCGCATCGACTGTGTGTGTCGCATGAAACAATGAGCGCAGAGCGGGCCATGGGAACAAGAGGATCCAAAACCATGGCGAACGTTCTGAACTTGAACACACAATCTGATGATATGTACGATACTAACCAACTGGCCCCGCCACAGGCATCGCAGACACGTAAGCACCGGACGTCGGCAATGATGGAAGTTGACTAGGGGTCAGAGTTATTGATCATCCCAGAACAAACAAATGAGGTCATGAAGAAGATGCTGTACCGGGCGAGCCATTTCAATCGCAAGTCAGATTTCCATTGCAATACGGTGCAGATCAAGGGGGTGTATAAGGTCCATGTCAAGCACAGCAGTTTCGAAGGAGACCTGAAACTGCTAGTAACACAGGGACAGTGGACAACCCTCCTTGGCATGGACTAGTTTAAACCATTGGGAATCAGGCTGCTAGGGGTAAATAAGGTCACAGGGCTGTCTATTGAAGGTGTGCTTGCAAAGTATGATGGCGTTTTTGGGTAAAAGATTGAGAAGTTTGAGGGACCCCCAGTGTCGCAGCACCTTGACTTTACAATGATGCTAATCCGCATGAAACCCTAGCAAATGCCCTTCGCGCTCATGCTTAAAATTGACGCTGAACTTGATTGCTTTATTGAACAAGGCATTTTGGAGCCGGTCATGCAACCAAAGTGGGAGACGCCGATTGTGACGCCCATGAAGGCAACTGGAAACATTAGTATAGGCGGCGCCTACAAGTGCACTTTCAACAAGGCACTGGCTCAACACCCGTACCCGATCCCCATGGTACAGCACCTCCTGGCATCACTCTCGGGGGGGAGGCTGTTTGAAAAACTGGATTTGGCAGAAGCTTACCAGCAGCTGGTGGTTGATGAAGAAGCGGCGGAGGCACAAACGATCACAACCCATCGAGGAGCATTTCGAGTAAAGCGGCTGCGGCTTGGAGTAAATGTTGCTCTTGGGATCTTTCAGAGCTTCATGGACGACCTCCTGAAGGGGATCACCGGGGTTGTGTCATAATTCAATAACGTTCTAATTGCTGCAAGCACCAAAGAAGAGTTGGCAGGCCACCTCGAGGAAGTCGTGCACCGTCTTGCTGATGCTGGACTCAGGGTAAAAAGTGAAAAGTGCCATTTTGAAGTGTCGCAGCTCGAGTTCCTGGGATTTCTCATTGACGAGACGGGCGTGCACCAAACAAAAGAAAAGGTGAAGGCGATTCATGAGGCACCAGTACCAACAAGCAAACAGGAGCTACAGGCTTTCCTAAGACTGCTAAATTTCTATTGCATCTTTCTACGAAAAAGGCAGCAGTGGCCGAGCCACTACGTCAGCTACTTGACAAAGAGGCACGGTGGGAGTGGACGGCTCTTCATGAACAAGTTTTCAACGAACGCAAGCAGCTGCTGTCCTCAGCAAGTGTGCTGCATCATTATGATGAAACAAAGCCCTTTGTGCACACTTGTGATGCCTCGCCATAAGACATACATTAAAGCTGTACTTGGCCGTCGACCGGAAGATGACAAAGAGGTCCCCGTCGCATTTTACTTCCGCACATTGACATCTACTAAGCCAAACTATGTTCAAATCAACAAAGAAGCCTTTGCAGTGCTGGGAAGCGTAAAGAAGTTCCATGACTAGACGTATTGCCTTCGAGATCATAACACCACAAACCACCTTTGGGACTGTTCACACCTGCAAAGCAAATGCCATACATCTTGTCTCCACGAATGTTGCGTTGGACGGTCCGACAGAATGCTTATAACTACAGTTTGGATCATTGACCTCGGAAGGACATACAACATGCCGGTGCATTTAGTTGCCTCTCACTTTCCATTCCAGAGTTTGCGGTGCCACCTCCTCTAGAAGTTTTGTTTCTGGAGAACACATCCAATCCACCGCTCCACGCCAAGGACGGCGCACAAATGACAGCAAAGAACACCGTTTGAAGGGTTCTCAACTGGGCTCTAAAGGGTTAGCTGCCAGGCGGCCTTGAGGCAAATTTCCAGCCATTCAAGATTCGACAACATGAGATGCCGGTTCACAAAGGATGTATACTTTGGGGGAACAGGGTCGTAATTCCCCCAGAAGGCAGGAAGGTGTTGCTGGAGGCCCTCCATGTCGGACATCCTGGCATCGACCAAATGAAGGCTCTGGCTCGCAGCTATGTGTGGTGGCCCAAGATGGACAGAAGCATAGAAGAGCATGTGATCAAGTGCATGGCATTCCAAGAGTAACGACCTGCACCTCCTCGTGCCTCAGTAGACGCATGGAATGCAACTCCAGCACCGTGGTCTCGGATGACGGGGCTCAGTTCACCTCCGAAGAATTCCGCACATTCTTGAAAGCCGGTCTCATCAGACACATCACGTCAGCACCCTTCCACCCGTCAACTAACGGACAAGCAGAGCGCCTGGTGCACACAACGAAAGATTCGCTACAGCGTATTGTAAAAGGGAACATGAGGGCAGCATCTGACCAGTTTTCTGCTACAGGAGCATGTAACACCATGCATGATGACAGGCGAGAGCCCAGTGGATATGCTGATGAACAGGAGGTTGAAGACGATACTTGACCGACTGCACCCAGACCTGACTGAGAGCATGAGGAAGGGAGCTGATGAGAATTCCAGCGAAGGAGCCCAACCGAAGTCACGAATGTTTCGAACAGAAGACCCAGTATTCATATGCAGCTACAGCAGTGGCCCTTCATGGATACTGGCGACAGTGGTTGAAATGACGGGTCCAGTTTCCTACAAAACCCGCACCCAGGAGGGCATTATCATGCGACGTTCTGTCGACGAGGTGTGTAGGAGCGGTGCATTGAGAGTTGCAACAGACAGCATCAGCCACGGAGAGCGGCAAGCTGCTCGTCCTGAACCACCCGGGCACCCGGATACAGGCAGCGCAGTGCAAACGTCGGTGATGGGCCCAGTGCAAGATGTGGATGTGACCAGGCAGAAGAGATCAGACGGGGCTCGATCTCTTCGAGAAAGAGTTCACTTAGGGGGAAGGAGTGTTGTGTATTGAGTGGTGGTACCATCTGGAAACAGATGCCAAACCTAGAAGACCACGCCACACCGCGCGAACATTGCAAAGCATGCAGTCAACGGCCTACACCAGCCAACAAATCTGTCACGTTGTCATGTAGCCTTTGTATCTTGAGTTAATAAATAGTTAATTATATCTTGTCGTCATCTACCGGCCAGGATCTAACAGTGACTATACTTGAAGTGTGCTGAAAAAAGTTTGTTAGTTACGGCCTCATTATTTCAAGCACAGTATGATCAGACCGTTTAAAAAAAGATGGCGCCGATATATTCGTAGACAGCATGATTAGTACTTGTACCTATCTAATTCAAAAACAACCCTCACCTTTTTTTTTCCAGTTTTCTGTGCACCTGGTTGTATGCGCACTCCGCTGGCGTGTCTACCCAGCGGTACGGCACGATCAATCACGGCCATCGTAGCCGATCCCCATCCACGATGACGAGCCCGTTTGAAGTTCCTCCTCCGAAGTTGTCTCTGATACAGCTCTGCGATAGCATGTGGAGGTCATGGATGCTTCCTTGCCACTCGGCGACCACTTCACGATCTGTGAGCATATGCCGACCACCAAGAGGACTACCTACTTGTCCGGCGTTGGTTCCGAGGAGCTCCGCTGCTGGTGACCACCTGAAGTGGAGAAATATGTCTGAGATTCGTTCATGACAGACAATAAAAATTCTAGCGCAGTTTCGATTCAAATATATGTAGCCACGCCATAACAATTCCTAGCGAAGGTTCATAAACACTGCTATAACGTGTCAAGCTACTCGCTATCTTCCAAAATGTTTTGGAACATGACGTCCGTCGGGAGTTGACGCTGACATTTTGAGAAACTGTTTGCTTTTCCGACTGTTTTTAAACACGAAACACATCATTTTACAAAGGAAGGATTGCCTCGGAACTGTACCTCGGCCAACTCCGTGATCCTCGGGTTGAAAATCGTCTGAACAATAAGACTACGTACTACGTCTTGCTTTCCGTTCATTCTTGAATGGATGGCGCTGCATTTGAGTCAAAAACTGAGCCGCAAAAATAAGTTATAATTATGCCAAACTTATTCACATTTACCTTTACGAAACAGCACAACAAAACAGTGGTGTTAATGATATTATTTCTTACCTGAGCACTTGCATCAGGACATGGGTGACCAGTCAAGCTCGCAGGAAAACAAGCGATTGCGAAACCACCAAACCGAAAACGAAACAGTCGTGGCAGGCTTTCCTGTCGAAGACGTCGATGGCGTAGAAGCAGACTAAACTCGCTTCAACAAAAGCATTCACCCATTAAAAATGACTTGTAGCCGGTGCGTAGTGGCTGGTGGCAGCCACGTCCGACATTTTGTTTTCTCAGGCGGTCTCATCTGGGGTCTCATCTGAGACCCAACGTAAGACGCCGGTTGAGTCGCTTGCTCGAAACGAAATTGGAACCGTCTCAGCCAAGTCAGGACTTGAGTCCGGTACCTACAACCGGGTGAGCGGTGCCTCGAGAGGGAATCTAGGGAAAACGGAGAAAAACGAAGAATCCGGACGTGGATGTGACACGGGGTCGTCTGCTACGCCGCGGTCGTTTTGAACAGCGACAAACGACGAGTCTCATAATTACTGCGTCGTGTTTTTCGTGCAAACCGTGGTTATACGTGAAAAGCGACAGCAAGCCGCGGTTCTGGCCGTTGTCTGTCACCACCATCGTCGACGTTGAGTGCGTACGCCGAATAAAGGTGTCCACAGAAATGTCTGTTCGTGCCGATGCATTTTCTAAGAAAAAGGAACAACACTGTACGTCCCTTCAAAGGTAAAGACGAATGCAATTTGGTGCAAAGATAAAAAGTATCAATTGGTGTACGAAATGCAGAAACAAAAACGCGTAATTCGAGAGAAATTTAACAGGATTACAAAAGTTGCTAAAAAGAAAGCACGGCATCTGTTCCATAGAGATCATACATACTGTCCGTACTGAACTAGCGGGACCAACCGATGCTACGCACGACACAAAAAGTAAAAAAAAAAAAAAATGCAGTACGTAAAATTTTTTAGCTGCAGAGTTGACGCTTTCCACAAGGGCGAGTTTGTTATACATTTGTCTTTACTGCACATAAAAATGAAGCACACATTCTATGTGCTCAATCAATTTTTTTCACTTCTTATTTTCCTGGTTAAATTATAGTAATAGTCAAGAGCTCTGGATTTGAACATCCCTTTTAATTTTCCTGGCTAAATTATAGAAGTTGTCAAGAGTTCTGGATTGAAAACTTTTATTACAAACAAATCAAAACAATGAATGCACTTGCTGCAATCAGACAAAATCCAATGACCCAAGAAAATGTAAAAAGAGCCATCTTCCACAGGCACAGGACCAGTGAGCTGTCATGTTACTGCTGTTTCTACAAAGATACTAGAATGCAGTATGTGCCATTTGATGCAGACAAGTCTAGCCTTTTGAGGTTGACATGATTGGGGGTTCTAGCAACGCTAACATTGATTTCATAACTGTATCTTGGGTATGCAAATACTAAATACTGGGCTCACTCTAGGAAACATTCCAGCAAGTTCTCTCCAAAGCAAGAAGGATCTGTGCACATTCAAGAACACTGAAACTTTGAGCCATGTCATTTCAGTTAAAAGTCAAAATCTGTATTTTTTAATGAAAAAACACTGCACTTATTAATAGAAGAATTAATCTTGTACACTGCTCAAGTGCTAGAAGGTACATTTTAAAAAAGAGTTAAGCAATGCAAACAATACAAAGGTTATTGTGTTTCCATTGCACCATCACCACAAAATACACAGGCTAGAAGCTTATGAAGTAAAGCCGAAACATGGCAAGCAGTAACATGAATTTGATGTTTTATGCCGAAAACTCTACATCTCCGTAGGTCCAAAGCCGACAAACACAACACTTGGACCTCATTTCCTTTGGGACCCATTTTCTTTGGGTCCATTGTATTGAGATGCCAAGTCAAACGAGTGCAAACACAAAGCTGAGAGTCTGTTACACAAATATGTATGTGCAGGTGCTTTTACCCATCTAGCTCATTTTACAGGTAGTATTCACTGGCGGCCATAGCTGAGCTCGCAGCTGCGGAGCACATATACTGACGGCAAGCTTCCACAGCACCTGCAACATGCACATTGCCCACATGAAGAATATCTTTTAGAGTGCAGCTCTTAGACGTGCGTCTCCGGAGTGAGTGGTGTCGGTGTTGGCCTAACTGCGCGTTACATTGGGACGTTTCCCATAATGACATCCCATGTGACGTCACTAGGGTCACGAGTGACGTCAGAAAGGTCACTTGTGAAGGTCATGAGGGAGGGGGGAGGGGGAGGGAAGGGGTGGAGGGAGGATGGAGGGGAGGAGGAGGGACATACCTGTTGGTAGTGTAATGGACCGTTATCGGATGGCGACACGAATCCAGCGCTAAGGTCGTGCAGCCGTTCCCCTTCTGTTTGCATATTCCCCCCTCTCTTCCCGCTTGATAAACAAAATGGCAGCTTGACAGCTGTATGTCGTTTCTTCATCTTCAAATCCACTCGATCCGCGTCCCAGAAATGTGGTCACACTGTGCACTTAAGATAAACAAACAGGTTATGGGCCCAGGACGACACATCGACCATTATTTCGGAAAGGGGGTCACCTTTAATGAGTGATGAAAAGGTACGACCACATTGAAGAAAAAACTGTCAAGCAACACCGTCTTCGCTACGTCGTGCCGATGCCTGAAGAAGATTAGACGAGCATGAGTGTAGTGAAACTGTCAAGGACGAAGTGACTGACAAGCGGTGTGTGCCCGTCAAGAAAGTAAACGGTGGCGCGTTCTTCATCAGACGGATGGAGCGTCGCCGGACACCGGTCTCGCTGCGGACTCCATGGGGTGTTATGTTCGGAAGACGTCTACACACACCAAGCGTGGGTAAAGCGAAGTTGTCGGTAAGAAGTGACCTTTGCGCTTTCCGAGCAGGACGGATCATCGTGCGACACCTGTGGCTGTAGGAAAGAAGTACTGACATCGGTTCGGTGCGTGCCAGTGATGAAAGTGTCGGGAAGAAGTGACTGACACGCCAGTGACGAATTTCTCGGCAAAGAAGTGAACGAAGGAGAACTGCGTCGACGGTTCGTGGAAGACGTCGTCAAACCTGTACGTGTGTTCCTGCTTCGCTGGGTGCCACAAGACGTGCAACGGGAACCCAACGCAAGTTCATCGCTGTAAGCCTACTTCGAACCGCTCTCGACAAAGCAAAGCGATAGGATGGCGGCGCTGGACGAATTCAAAATACCAAAACTCTCAAACGAAAATTACCATGCGTGGGCGATTTGAGCCAGAGTGGCACTCGTCCAGAAAGGCTGTTGGGAAGCCATCGAGCCTGGCTATAGTGGGAGAGAAATGATGAACGACGAGAGGAAGAACACCAAGGCTTTGACATTCATGTTCCTAGTAGTGGAAGACACCTGCCTGGACGACATTGGGGAATGTTTGACAGCTCGTGAGGCCTGGAATACATTGGAAGAGACACATTTAAAGTGTGGGCTACTGCATGCTCTTCAGTTGATGGGAGACTTCTCCAGCACCAGAATGGAGCCAGATGAAACCATGAAGGATTACCTGGATTGAATAATGAACCTACAGAGGAAGCTTTAAACGGCAGGATACGCCTTCACTGACAGGGAAGTGGCACTGGTGATGCTGATGGGCTTGCCAGAAACGTATGAATCACTTATCCTAAATCTTGAGCAAGACGAAGGAACGCTCACGACGAAGAAGGTGAAAGCAAGGCTGCTGGTAGAAGAAAAGCGCCAAGTCAAACGTGAAAAAAACAAACTAAATGAGAGTGAAGAAAACAAGGCCCTCATGACAAAGAACAAGCCATTATGAGGAGCAGTCAGCTCCACAAACGTAACGGGCAAGAACATTTTTCAAGGAAAGAAGCAACTGGCACTGGTACAAGCTGCTTTGAACCGAAACAATGAGCTCGGTGCGGAAAATTTGGACACATTGCCAGGGAATGCAAGGAGGGTCCCAATGACGAAGGATGCGGCTCAAAGAGAAGACGAAATTCCAGTGAACCGAAGAAGGCGCTTTGTGCCAGAGGTGGAAGTTCCTCAGGGTCACACATCTCGTACCTTGGCAGTGGAGCAATTGACCACATGACGTCAAACAGAGCCAAATTCACCACTTTCAAGCCCTGCTGTTCGACTGTTGAGGCACCAAATAAGGAGGTCATGGAAGTCGTCGGGAGAGGACAGGTAAAGATTGAACTTTCGAAAGACTGCGGTGGCACTGTCGTCGAGCTCCAAGATGTCCTCTACGTACCAAGCTTAGACGGTAACCTCTTGTCAGTTGGGAAGATTGAGGAACGTGGACTGAGCGTGACTTTCAGCAACGGAAAAGCTAAAGTGATTGAAGCAAATGGTGACCTAATTGTCGTAGCCAAGCGCGATGGTAAATTGTACACTGAGAGTAAGTCGCTTGCAACATTGAAGTTAGCAAAGGCGACAGACGTCGCCCTGTGGCATCGACGACTCGGTCATCTCCATCATGAAGCTGTCGAAAAACTTTGCCAAAGTGGTAGAAGCAGTCAAGATGCAAAGTGCTCGACATGTGCACTTGGCAAATTGAAGAAAAGCAGCTTCCGAAGAAGGGTGGAACAAAGGCTAAGGCCCCACTGGAGCTGGTTCACTCGGATGTAGGTGGAAAGATCACACCTGCCTCGAAGGGAGGGTCGAACTACTTTGTCACATCCATTGATGACTACTCCAGATTCACTGTAGTGTACCCAATTAAGACGAAGAATGAAGTGTTGGACAGATTCGACCAGTACAGACGAATGGTCGAGATTCTCCACAACACGAAGGTGAAGACTTTGCGTAGTGACAATAGAGGAGAGTACACAAGCAAAGAGTTTGATGAGTACCTGGCCAAGCATGGCATAAAGCGTCGGCTCACCATT